CGTCTTTAGACTTTAGGCATAATGAATCGGGAATATGGAGTTGGCAAAGTAAATATGAAGGGACCTTGTGGGACCTAGACTGATCTTGGCTTGCGCCCTGTTTAGTACTGTCGTCCTTTGCCATAAATCCATTGATGAAGACCTGAGATTCTTCAACGCCCTCCTTCCCCAACCGTTAATGGTCAGGATCGATTCTATTTCATATATTTATTTATCGTCGATGTAGAAGGTTGGTTTGAACCAACCTATTAGTTACTATGAAGAGTGATAACGTACTGCTGTGGAAGAAGAATCTAGAGTGAGAAGTGAAAGAAGACAAAGGTGAACTCTGTATACTTTGTATTATATATTTGAACATCATCAATTTGTTCTTCAATAGTATTCAAAAGGCACATATCAAACAAGTGTTGGATTTATTCAATATGAATTAACCATAAATGGTTTACTATATGTAATAGGAATGTATAAGTTGGAAATCAGTAAAGATGTGATTTGATTCTCACGTATCAAACATACATTTAGGGCTGGTTTGGTATTTCTATGCTTTGAAAAAAAAACTGTTTCTACTGTGCTGTGAGAATAAGTAGCCGTGAATTAAAGCAACAGAGTGTTAGGTAAACTTTTTTGTAAAAGTTCTTTTGGAAAAGAACAAAAAAACAGTATTACGGTGTTTGGTAAACTTTGATGTAAAACAACTGTGACTGTGTGAAATGACCAAAAAGGGTATAATACTAGATGTGTCATTAATTTAATTTTCTTAACAAATAAAGGTGATTTACTAAATATACTTTATTTTTAAAAGAAAAATATTTATAAACTTTATCTTAAACATATAATCCAACATTTAACAAGAAATCATAATCTAACATTCAACATATAATCCAACATTTATGCTGCTTCACATTTTCAGTTTTTTTTCAAAGCTCATTTTTGCTGCTTCATGTTTTCAACTTTTTTCACCCAAAACTATAAAAATAAGCTGTTTTTAAGTGTTTACCAAACACTTTTTTTAGCTCAGTTTTTTTTTATGCCTACTTTTTATAAAAACACCTCAGTACCAAACCAGTACTAAGTGTCTTCCATTCTAAGTAGGTTTTCATTAAGTCCTATTAATAATGTATGATTATGATACTTTACTTGACAACAAAGAAACAGAATTTTTAGCTTTCCCTTATGGACGAAATCTAAAGCTTTTGGCTGGTATAAAAACACCGATCCCTGCAAATTCCCTAGACACAACAACTAAGGCTTCCCATAGAGCATTGTCATCAAGCTAGGAGTTCGCCAAAGAGTTGGTGTTTTGTCATCTCGGTTCTTAACAAGATCATTGCTTCCATGGCTGCAGCTGCACCTTCTTCAGGTAAGAGTTTTATATTTGCTCTTGTCAATTATTCAGCAAGTGTTTTGATCATATAAACGCTATGGCTAACAACAAGGACATCCCTATTTCACGAACAAATGGATTAGAGCTTAGGCCAAGTCAGAAAGGTTATCACGTTGAAGTAAAGGTGGTTCAGATAAGAACACATGCATGAAGGTCGCGCAACATCTGTATGATCCAATAAACTTTAGAAGCAATGTTCGGCAAATGAAATTGTTAAACGCCGAAGAATTCATACACTGACACGCATGGTTCATCGAAAACGCTGTCTGGTATGATGAAGGTGAGGTATTGAACTTCTTCCACTAAGCTCCTATAAAGTGTACAGGGTTTGGCAAAAGAACTCCTCCATTTTTTAATAAATTACATATATATGAGGTGTATTACATATCCATGCAAGCTCTGGAAAGCAAATCCTTAACATGTAAGCCTACCTTGATTAGGGAAAATGTCCCCATTTGATGCATAAGAAACCTGAATTTTTAGAAATAGTTACATATGGCCATGTCTTTCACAACAAAAACAACACCCAAATCATCTATTACACTTTGAGCCAAGGACATATATAGAAGATCCTATTAATATAATGTTATCAACGTATAATAACAATATAACCACATCAGCAACAGGTTGTTTAACAAAGAGACATATGGGTCAGTTTGAGAAACTGTTAAACTGAGAGTAAATTTGATTTTCCATGCTCTTAGTGTAGAGTTATCAGAGAGACGAGCTTAATGTCTACTTCCAACAACACCGATATTATCCCTAATTTGGTAATTACCTATTGCACCATCCATCAATTATGAGGTTTTATCACAAAATACCTTGGTATTAATTGGAGTGGGGTTTTTAGGATATTTAAACTCTTCTTTTCTTAGAGGAACGGTTGATGTCACGTGAGACTCAATTAATGGGTTACATGTGGGAGATCCACACATTGATAACCACGTGGAGCCTAGGGGACTCACCCTACACGCGGGGCCAAGGGACCCACCATTATCGCAGAGGGCCAGGGGACCCACCCATCATGTGGTAGTATGGATCTGCTCCCTTACTCTGATACCATGTTTTTTTTTTTTTTTGTCTAATACTTTAATACCATGTTGAAAATATGTGAATTGTGAGAGAATTTCTCCTGTATTGATTGGTCAATAATATTACAAGATGTAGAGCTATATTTATACAATCTATAATGATCTATTCTAGGCGCAGCAATATACAAATTGTCAATTACAATCAATCTTAATAGCTAATTGATACGTCGCTACAATCAAGCAATCTTGCTTTCTTTCCGTTAATACTTAGTGCTTGTTTCAACTTAAAAATTTCAACAATTTACGTACAAAATCCAGATGAGCAAAATCTTCAAAACCCTAGTCTAACTAATACAGCTTATATCAGATCCCAGGTTCTTTAAGGGAATGGATACCTATTTTTCAAAAAAAATGAGAATACCCTCTTGACCATTAGATTTGACTTTAATGAAATTATGTGGTTGAGATTAAATCACAGACCACAGAATCTCAACTACAGGATTTCATTAAAACCAAATTTAACCGTTAAGAGGATGTCTCATTTTTTTTTGAAAAATAGGAATCCCTTCTTTTAAGGGCTTCCTATCAGATCCAAAAGTACAAATCATACGTGGTCATGGTAAACGAAATAAAGGACTTAATATTAGGCCGAATCCCTCTCTCTCCTTTATACTCGGTGAATACATTTGTTGCTTTTCTTTTCGAATATAAGGGTCAGATTTGGAACCGACATATAATACCAGTATATTGACTGAGTGGCATTAAAATCGTTAATGTAGAAAAAGTTCAATCTGCACGTGTTTTTTAGAATTTCATTTAAACCCCACCATAAATTTCAGTAAATATTTCACCAAAGAAAAATGAGGAATTAGTACCGAAATATAAGTGCAGAGAAAAAGGGTTTGATGGCTTGACCTAAAAACAGTTTAAAATGCATATATTGGATAATATAATTAATTGAGTATTTGAAAGAAAAGAAAGAAAAAGAATAATATCTATACTCCTGCTACAGTAGGATAGAAGTCTTCGGGCTGGTTTGGTATTGCTGTGCTTTGAAAAAAAGCTGCTTCTGCTGTGCTGTGAGAATAAGCAGCTGTGAAATAAAGCAGCAGAGTGTTTGGTAAACTTTTTTGTAAAAGTGCTTTTGAAAAAAAAAAAGCAGTATTAGAGTGTTTGGTAAACTTTTATGTAAAACAGATGTGAAAAAAAGCCAGTTTTTCAAAGCTAGGTTTTGCAGCTTCTTGTTTTTGGCTTTTTTTCATCCAAAACTGTGAAAAAAAGCTGAAGCTGAGTGTTTACCAAACACAAAAACAGCTCCCAGCTTTTTTTGATAGCAGCTTTTTTCAGAATCACCTCAGTACCAAACCAGGTCTTCGTCTTCTCTCTTTAGCCCAAACTACAATGCAGGTTTTTTTAATGCAGATTCAAAAGCGCACACGTTAATGCATACATAACAAACACACACAAAAGGGATAAAACGCAAAGAATCCTTGGTGCTCAAAGAGTAAATAATATTCCAAAAACTTCCCTAAACTCTAAATTACATAGCTTATATAGAAACAAAAAAAAAAAAAAAAAAAAAAAAAAAACCCCAAAGCCTTAATAAGAAATAAAAATACAATAACATAAATAACATAATTTGTTACAGAAAAAGAAATAATGATTTCCCCTGCATCACTTCTTTTACTTTTTTTGTTTCTTATTTGAAAATAAAGATTAATTGCACATTCAATTCACTATAGCTAAAAGGCCGAAATCAAACTTTGGATCATCATAAATGATGATCAATTGTTTTATAACTTGGCTATAGGATTTAGGGTTGCTTTTCCCAATTAGTACGTCGTTCTAACAATACTGTAAACCTAATTGATCCATGCAATATCTTGTTAGATGCATAGTAATACTTCGTAATGTTTGGTGCGTGATTCTCTTTAGTTGAAAGCTCCATTAAAATTTTAAATGAGGTCACAATTTCCTGCACCCTAAAAATACCAAATTCACATCTACATTCGCTAACCCTAAGCGATGTATTTTAAACAGAAATTGTGACCTCATTTAAAATTTTAATGACATCGTAAACTTGAATCATTTTTTAAATGAGGTCACAATTATAATTACTTCTTAGATTTATGATTTTTTTTAATAACCAAACTTTTTTGTTATAATTTTAAAGTTTTGGTGGGCCAAGGGTCTGCCAAGCCATTATTTAACAGAGAATTTAACTGATAAAATAACGGACATATGATTTTGAGAGCAAAACGTAACTTTAGGTATAAAAGTGATACAAAAGAAGTAAATGTAGTAAAGTGTTAATTTTGATAAACTTAAGGGTAATAAAGTATAAATTATCCACAAATTAATTATTGGAAAATAAACTTTAAGGGTAGCTCGGTCCGATATGATGTTTTCAGCTAGAAGTGGAACACAAATTTTTACGTCTTGAACTGCATGTAAATAATACTCATCAATAATCACAACGGTTCTAACCCTGGCCTAGTAAATATAGCAAACCAATCTATATTAATTTTTACAGAGAGAAAGGGTAGTCTGGATAAATAGATTTCCATGTTGGTGTTAAAAAAAGAAATAAATTAAAAAACCCATTTGTGCCCGATATAAATAGTAATGCAATGTGGCCGTTCTAGGTCGTGCCAAAAATCCCAACACAATATCTTACAGAAAAGGAAAGTCTCTAATTGCTGGCAAATTAGCTACCACTCTAGTCTTACCATCACCATTTCCACCAAGAGATAAATACTAAATCCTTCAAGCTAGACAGATGGGAAAATCTAGTTGCTATGCAGCGGCGTCAGGGATAAAGAGAGGTCCATGGACTCCTGAGGAGGACAGAAAGCTTTTAGCTTACATTCAACTACACGGCCATGGAAGCTGGCGTTCCTTGCCCCAGAAAGCTGGTACGTATGATGGGTTGAGTTTAGAGTTGTGGTTATTTTGGGTTGTACGGCCTGTAGACGTCTTTGATGTACGGTTATCTAATATCTAATGAATATTGTTTCCTTATAAGAAACATATCTTCCTCTTCTTTCATGTAGTAATTAATTTGTTGATCATAGCTATCCCTACTTAACTTGGCCTTCTATTTATGTACATACAGGTCTCAAAAGATGCGGGAAGAGCTGTAGGCTAAGGTGGAGAAACTACCTCAGACCTGATATTAAGAGGGGAAATTTCAGCTTGCACGAAGACCAAACCATCATTCAACTCCATGCACTTCTTGGCAACAGGTAAAATATATTATTAAAGTTGATATTCTCTTAAACATTCATATACATCATATAACTTTGATTCAAAAGATTCCTTATATATGTGGTTCATGCAAGCGTACTATTGTAGAACTTAATTTGTTGGGTTTCCTTTTGTTTTTGTTTTTGGTTTTGTAATTTTTCTTTTGTGGACAAAATTTACAAACTAAATTATCTGTCCCAATAGGAAATGAGCACATTTATCAACACTTAAACAATAATTCATTCATCAACTTTCATGTCATTTCATTTATAAAATTTTATCTACAAATTTGGTCGTCATTACTCTATCAATAAAACTCACAACACAGAAACATTACCTTTCAGAAAATTAAAATAATGATAGTAAAAATGCTTATGGTGTATAGTTTTCCTTCACTCTTATACCGTATATAGTACTTCCATGCGAGCTAATATATATAAATATCCATGTACGGTATGTAGGTGGTCGGCCATAGCTGCCCATTTGCCAAGGAGAACAGATAACGAGGTCAAGAACTATTGGAACTCACATCTGAAGAAAAGGTTGGCAAAGATAGGGTTTGACCCTGTAACCCACAAGCCCAAGGCTGCCATTCTTAGCTCTGCAAATGGCGACCCTAAAAACTGGTCAAATCTTAGCCACATTGCTCAATGGGAAAGTGCCAGGCTTCAAGCCGAAGCAAGATCTGTCAAAGAATCCAAACTGCGTATGCATGAATCTGCGCCAGCGCCGTCGCTTTCCGATGATCATCATCAGTTTGCTCCACCACTAGTTCCACAGTGCCTTGACATACTACGAGCATCCGCATGGGAAAGCCTAATATCCATGTCAAGGTCATCGTCAAGATCGGCTGCCCAAACCAATATGAACGGCCAGGGTAATGTCTCATTTGGTGATCATCACCATGTTCATGATCATGGTATTAATATGAACGCCCAAGATTATGGCTCAAATTTTGAGGCTCCAACATCTGATCAACAATTATCAAGCCTGATGGGATATGATGATGCAACGCTCATGTCATCAGTAGCCACTGGATCGATGGATATTAATGAACTTTTCGGTGAATACTGTGGTGATGAATGCAGTGAATTATTGGCGGCACTCCACCACGATACTGGGTTTGAATTCGGGGATGCTTGGACTAGTTTGGAACAATTAATGTAAGAAGCAGTGAACAACGTCATGACGACGTGAACAATCAGTAGTCAGATTTTAACTTGACGGAGGGATTAATATATGTGTATCTAATGTTATGGTTATTTCTTATGAATAATTCTCCACCGGTATCATCTGCAAGAAATTGTAGAACTAGCTACTAAAGTTGGCGATGGTTTAGTTAGGCTTTACGAAATAATATTACATATTGGAGAATTGTAGACCATCTATTAATGATGTATAATATTGAACACCAGTTTTATAGTTGATGTGTCTCTTCCACTCTAGTTTTACTAATATAATTATGGTCAGCCTCAGCCTCATACCGCCAAGAAACAAAAAAAAAAGGAATGGAAAAAGAACATGAAAAGAAATATATAACAAAATACTTTGTTTGGACCTCCCCCTAATCTTATCAAATAAACGTTTATTTATATTATTAAGGTTAGTTTTGTAAGGATGTGATGGTGAAAGAGTCCTACAATGATAAAAAGAAAAACCGTACACAATAAATGTAAAGGTAAAATATTCTTACGTCGCTGCAAGTGTTTCTTAAAGATGTTTCTCTGAAAATAAGAACTTTGGGCTATTTGTAGGCAAACACTGCTATATATACTATGTTTTTGGTTAGTTCAAATCTCGTTTAGCTTTATTAAAAAACATTTTCAAACATATCCTTAATTTTCTAGAAATTTTATGAATTCCATATTTATTTTCTTATCTTCATTTAAAAGCTAGAGATCTATTGTACATCAACGTATAATACACACACACACACACTCTCTTTTAAGTGGTTCAGATTCCTTTGCTAGGTTAATTGTAATCCACCACATTCCAAGCTCGACTTCACCTTAGTACGATATTATCCTCTTTGTGCCCCGACTACGCCATCACAGTTTTGTTTCTGGAAACTCACACGAGAACTTCCCAGTGGATCACACGAAAAATTGGGAATGTGTGATTTGAAGCACATATACTGGGAGAAGTATTATATGACGAATCAGCTAGCAAACTAGAGTAATCATATGGATATTGTCCTTCGTGTGTTTCATAATTGATCCTCCTACTTAGATTGGATCACCTCTAATCAGAGGGAGTGTTGGGGTGTGCAAAAAGTGCAACGGCACAGGTCCCGAATTTTTTAGGGGCCCCAAAAATTTTGGTCCTCCTATATATTACTAATATAAAAAATTTTGATGGAAAAGAAAAATCATGACCATATGATTTTATCTATATTACAAGTGATTAAGTGGAGCTTAAAGTTACTATATTAATTTTTCACTTTTCTCTAGCATAAAAAAAACTTGTGTATTACTTTATTCCGCTTTTCTTTAGCAATACAAAACTAACTTGTTTATTACTTTCTCCACAAAGCGTACTTCCACATCTCTCTTGTAGTTGTGCTCCATTCTTTCATGGATGAACCCTAAATCATAATTTTATGGCAATTGGAGATTATTCAATTAGTAAGAGTGAGACACTGATTTCGATTAAGTTTGAATATTAGTTGTTGAATTCTATATAAATATGTTGTCCAAAAAATATTATTTTTTAAATAAACAAGGTCGTTTCATTTAATCTGCATAGAGCCATTAAAATGTCAGAAACGACCCTAGCTCTCATAAATTAAAGTTTGGGGTGTCTCGGACTTCTTTTGTTTTCTCTGGTGTGTCGAGTTAGTTGTTGGGTTGTTTTCCTCATTCTTTACACCAAAAAAGAAAAACAATGAAGAACAATTTGAAACTTGAACTTTCTACATTAGAAAGAGGAATAACACTAAAGGGAGAAGGCTTTTTCGGTTATGTAAAAAAAAAACACTATTATACTGCACTTGGTTGACCAAAATATTAGACAAAAAGCACTGTATCTTAAAGATTATAATAGGAAAGAAGCATCTAAAAATTGTAAAAGCCAGTTCTAGGATTGAATAAAACAAAGGGGAAACACAAAAAAGGACAGTTGTAGTAGGCAAGAAGCAAACATTTGAAGGGCTTGTATTGCTTGATTGATGTTGGTGGGAATTAGATTTGGGTTGCTCAATACTTTGAGAAATTTTTTAATAGCTGAGAACACGGACTTGTATACTAAGTGTCATAATATAAATGGTTAAATTTTTTTTTCAACCATCCAACTACTGTTATTATGACAATAAACCGTGTTTCCGATATACTAAAATATCCTCCAATACTTTTGAAGATTAATGCTAGTTTTGTGCTCATTTTGAGCTTTTGGACCACAAAAGTGTTCGTAGAGTCTTTTAACTTCTGGAACTGTCTCATACTACATCGTACACGTTATGTGGACCCTAAGCTTATATAATCACTTTAATGTCTTCATTATTTCTAGAACACGGCCATTCACAATCTAATAATTCACTGTCCATAACTCCATATCCATATTATAATAATTGGTTGGGATTAATAGATTTTAAGTAATTTAGCAGGTGAACTTGGCCCACTTAAAAGACCATATAGCATATACTGATACAATAGGACTCCACAATTTGATACATAAGCAAAAGTAATGCATTAAAATTACAAAACGAATAAAATTTATATTTATGTGTCAAACTATTTTTTACAAGTAGTAGATTTCTTAGTCCTTACACGTAATTAAGAAGCCAAGTATGTTCCATTATGGATTGAAATCTTCTTCGGATCTCACACTCTAATGTTTACGGACTGAGTAAGTCGGATCGTTCTATTTAATTAAATTTTGCAGTCCTCATTAGCGCATTTCATTGGCCCACCTCATATACCATCTTTCTTTTCAACACCCAAATATCTCTCTTTTAAACGTTGCGGATTATCTGATCTGTGGACTCCGGAGTTGGGATTTAGAGGTCCTCAATCCTTCCCTTATGATCATGTTATGACAAGTAAACACTCTAGACCATGCATGAAACAGAACTTGACAAGACATAATAAGCCTAAGCATTAATGATCGTGAATTGTTTAAAAATACAGGCCCAATTTGATAAAAAAATTACATAGGCCAAATAGTTTTGAGTTTTTAGTTAAAATCTAAAATTTGGACAATTTTAAAATTTTAAATACATTAAATTTAATGATTGAGATTAAATATAAACAAATTTAATAGTAAAATAAAAGATCTAATGGTCCAAAATTAAATCCAACGGCTAAAATAATTTTAAAAAATATTTAAATCAAAATTCAACCAATAACTCTATAAATACATATTTCATGGGGTTGGTTTAGTAAATTATCATAATCTACGTAAATATTTTAAGGTTAAAATGTTATAAAAATAAATTATGATAATCTACATAAATTTTATTTTGAAAAAAAAGTTACCGAAAATAAAAATTTAACCAAAATTTATTCTTTAATAGTTTCAGGTTAAAATTTACTCAAAATCACTGGAGCAAAAAAAATTGTTTTTAGGTTAAACTCTAAATTTTCTAGGTTTAAAAATTTCGGTTTGAACCCAAGAGATGGAAAGTGTGACATCCCACATCGCCTAGGGGAGTGATCCTTATATGTATATTCCCATCCCTACCTAGCACGAGGCCTTTTGGGAGCTCACTGGCTTCGGGTTCCTTTGGAACTCTGAAGTTAAGCGAGTAGCGCGCGAGAGCATTCCCAGGATGAGTGACCCATCGGGAAGTTCTCGTGTGAGTTCCCAGAAACAAAACCGTGAGGGAATGGTAAGCCCAAAACGGACAATATCGTGCTACGGTAGTGGAGCGGGCCCGGGAAGTCGTCCCACCCGGGCCGGGATGTGACAATTTGGTATCAGAGCCTAACCCTGGCAGCGTGTGTGCCGACGAGGACGTCGGGCCCCTAAGGGGGTGGATTGTGACATCCCACATCGCCCAGGGGAGTGATCCTTATATGTATATTCCCATCCCTACCTAGCACGAGGCCTTTTGGGAGCTCACTGGCTTCGGGTTCCGTAGGAACTCCGAAGTTAAGCAAGAAGGGGGCTAGAGCAATCCCATGATGGGTGACCCACTGGGAAGTTCTCGTGTGAGTTCCCAGAAACAAAACCGTGAGGGCGTGGTCGGGGCCCAAAGCGGACAATATCGTGCTACGGTGATGGAGCGGGCCCGGGAAGTGATCTGCCCCGAGCCGGGATGTGACAGAAAGGGTCTAAACCGATCGCTATCCACTAATGCATGTATTCCATGCAGCACATCCTGAGTTAGATTCACGACGTTGGTGAACCATACGATGGTGAAATGCCTTTTTGAGTCTTCCTAGCCCCTAAAAAGATAGATTACCATGGTGAAGCTACCAACTGATCCCTTTTAAACAATATATATATATATATATATATATATTTTTCATGATTCTTATTTTCGTGATCATTTAAATAAGCTTAGATGGGATCACTTAATCAGATAGTGAAAGGAAACCCTTTTGAATACTAATATTGCTAAAAATTTAATTATAAGGTAAATGTGGGTCTGATTATATAATACTTACATATATTTAATATAAAATATCATAATGTGTTATATTAAATATATGTATGTATTGAGTCAAAATTCGTGACGAATTTTCGTGATTATATTTTAGTGATTGCCATTAACTGTAGCTGTATTCCATTTAAAGGAACTAACCCATTTCATTTTCTGTTTCATTTTCTTTTAGAGGATTAAGATAAGTCAACCATTAAAGGAATGTCTAGTACGTGCATGTCACGATCGAATGCAACAAACGACCCCAAAATACTGCGTTAATGAATTCAACTAGGAATGCACGGGCAGTTAGTCACATATATATTACATACTTAAGCCTAAACACTAATCACTAATCCCCTCAAGAACAAAGGGTTGAGTTTCTTTTCAATATTTTTTCATAATATAACTTTAGAAAATTTGGTTTAGGCCAATGAATAAATTCTTATTTCAAACATATGTCAATTAACATTTTATTTAGTAGCATATATAGGTCAGTAGAAACAATTATCCCCCAAACCAGCTTCGTACTTCTCTTTATTGGGTAAGTGGGATTCTATCTGTGTTTATGAGAGATAAATGAGACACGAACTCGAGTTTTAAGTTGACACTTTTACTTAGAATTAGGTTTAGCCAAATTAATTAAAGTAACGTGCTCCTCCAGTGCACAAGATTTAAATTTTCTTCTCATAATTTATAAAGTTAATGTAAAATACTGTTTGCGTAAAACCCAAAAAAAAACAAAAAAAAAAAAAAACAAAACAACAACAACAAAGTTGGATGTTTTCGCCCATTTCACTACAACTTAAGAAAAACCCAAATCGTGTAACTAGCAAGGTCCATCCAGTTATAGGTCCATGAATATCTTGGAATGTCAGTACAAATTTAAATAAAAATTAAAAAATTCATTGAAAAATAAAAAAGATAAACATGATTTTATTTGAATTTTTAGGAACATAATAGTAATGAGAAAGGACAAGGGTAGCTTTTCGATCATAAATTTCCCAATAGGCTCCTCTCCTGATATTTTAGTGAAAATCTTGGAGATTCGTAAATCATATTTATTCATCGTATATAGTGCGATCAGTTTTTATCAAGTACTATTTATATTTAATTTAAAAAAAAATATTTAAAATGATTTATAACCGTACGATATACGATGAACATATATGACTCATGGAGCTTTAGAATCCTCACAAGGAGGATCCCGATTCATAATTTCAACTTGAAAACTTACACAATCATCTGGCAGTGTGTACTGAATGTGAATATAGTGTGCAGAAAATAAATCGAATCGTCCGTATAAATGGTGGTCCGTAATCCATACGGTTCATGAACCTAAAGTTATTTTAATGTACGTAGGATCGTTAAATTTGTTTTCCCCTTTGCATGCAAACGTAATGCAATTATTGAATCCACGAAAAATAAGCTTTCAAATTAAGCATCAAATTTTCTGCCCTCTCCTGGATGCCATAAGTCTTTTTTTTTTTTTTTTTTTTTTTTTCGTAATGAGATTTATACTTTCAACACGTCTCTTTATATGTGGCGAATTTTTAAGCCTAATATGTTGACAACCTACTTTGATACCATGACGAAAGTTGATGTTCTACTATAAAATCAATAGGCAATATGAGGAGCAACCCAATTACGTATAAGCAATGCAATTTCCCTTCTTTTTCCGATGTAAGTTTCATACTCTCAACAACTATATATGGCCTTATACCACAAAGGCATGCATGCATGTTTAATTTATTTCACCTTTTATATATATGTTCTGGTTTCGACTCACTGAAGTCTCTGGACTGACCTTGAAATATGCATGTACATGCTATAATAAGGCTTTACACAGTGTTGGGGCTTATTTAAGAAGGCTTTGTTCTAGACATAAAGCATCCCAAAGGAGAAGTAGATCCTAGGGAATACTTTGTTGTTCCTCTAGCAACTCCAAAGTGTTGGGTCGATCTTATGTTGAAATGCTCCCAGCGGTTAAGTTCTTCTGGTTGTTGTTGACGCTTCTTAAGACTTTTGAGATGGTGAGTTAATGTCGAAAAGGGCTTGGCATGAGAGCTTGAAGTGTGGGAGCCAAAGATCCACAAGTTTATTAAACCGTCTCCAACCAAGGGCCAGGTCAAAGGGCTTGTGGGCCCCACTGGACAAAAAAAAGGCCAAAGGTCGGCCTAAACCAGCCAGCCAGCTGGCCCTGGGTTGGGCTGAAATTCAAATTTGCAACTGCTAGTTACTGACGTCAGCTAACCGTTTTTTATTTATTTATTTTTTTTTTAATCAAAATTTGTTTTAAAAATTGTAAATTTTTTTTTCCATACAACTTTCTAAACCATTAAACATTACATAACATTAAGTAACATGAAACAACATTAAACAATATTAAACAACGTTAAATAACATTAAACAACATAAAAATTATACAACATAAAAATAAAACATTTAACAACATGAAACTTAAACAACATTTTTAAAAACATTTAACAACATAAAACTTAAACACCTACTCCATGCTTATTTTGGCCCAAAGATGTGCAATAAGATCCTGTCGTAGGTACTTGTTTTTGGCACAGGAATGTATCATTCTATAGCACCTCATGTACTCATTTAAAGAGATACTACCAGTTCTTGGATTGAAAGGCAAATTAGGCCCATCATATATTTTTGCACGAGCGCTTCTTGACTTATTTGGACCATCTTGGTCATCATCAGACTCTCCATCAATATATCTATCTCGCTCATCCTCCACAATCATGTTGTGTAATATGATGCAAGACATCATGATGGAGTCCAAATTTTCTTGACTCCACCCTCTTGCTGGTTCACTAATGATATTCCACCGTGCATGTAGAATATCGAAAGCTCTCTCAACATCTTTCCGATATGTCTCTTGGTGTAAGGTAAACAACTTTTCGGCGTCATTCATAAGGTTTAGAATTGCTTGGACAAGTGTTGCCCACTTTGGGTAGATGCCATCTGCCAAGTAATACCCCATATTGTACTGACGGTCTTGATGTAGTAGTCAAGTTGAGGTGCTTTACCCTCCGTCAGGGTATTGAAGAGGGGTGAACGCCCAAGAATTGTAATGTCATGTTGGGATCTAGGGACTTCAAAGAAAGCATGCCAGATCCATGTGTCATACGAGGTAACTGCCTCTAACATGAAAGTTGGCTTTCTCGACCTTCCGCAGAAGCCTCATTGTCATCCGGTGGGACAGTTCTTCCAATCCAATGCATGCAGTCTAATGACCCTATCATGCCTGGAAACCCATGGTTTTCAAATTTGTGAAGGAAACAATCCAGATCTTCTTGATTTGGCTCGTGGAGGTACTCATCTTTGTAAAGCTGAACAATTGTGTCACAGAATTCAGCAAGAGTATCAAGGCATGTAGACTCAGACATGCCATAGGTTTCATCCATCAAATCAGTTGGGGAGCCATAGGCCATCATTCGGAGTGCAACAGTAACCTTCTGATGAGGTGAGAAACCAGGACGGCCTGCTCTGTCTCGCTTCTGTCGAAAGTATGGATTGACTTGCTGGACATGACGAAGTAAACACTCGAAGACATAACCTCTCATCTGGAAGCGACGTCTGAAATCCTCTTATGTGTACACCAGGTTGGGGTTGAAGTAGTTGTTCATCAGATTGGCATGTGTCATCGCTCTATTTTGTGGTTTGTAAAAGCGACCAGCAACAAAGCTACCCCATTGAGGTTGTTCCTGAGTTGGCTGACACACCATGGTTATTGCTCTGTTTTGTGTGTTGCACCATACTTCATCTTCTTCATTAGACTCCTCATCTTCTCGTCTCATCTGCATCCATTTTTCTTCCAATTTGGAATTGGATAAGGACCCCTAGTTGGAATTCAAAGAGGATCCAAAGTTGGAATTAATTGCAAACTTGAATTGAAAGAGATTGAATTCAAAGGTGTGTGAATTATAACCCAACATCCACCCTATTTATAGCAAAAAAAAATTCAAATCCAATGGCTAACTAATGTCACACCCTTTTAACTACATGGCACTAAGCTGAATTCATTGCAAACATATATTGTGGCACATGAAAGGAGAATGTATATGTCTTGGGTGGTAAGCTAAATTAGGTTATTGTCATGGACAATGCACACCTAAAAAGGTGTTGGAAATTATCTCATTTGCTTATCCGGCATGAGATCACTCCAATTATGGCTTGGACTTTGGTGCTCCCAAATAGACCAAAGTCTCCATTATCGTAGAGTTTTTATGGGCCTTGTGGACCATTGTAACCTTCCACACCTCAACCCCTCTAGCAAGCCCTGAAACCACATGTCTTAGGTCATGTGAGCTTGGTAGGTGTCGGGTTTAAACGAATGTGCTCGGCATGGCGTGACATGATAATTAATTAAAACTTGTGTAAAACTTTGCTTAACTACTAATTTTCAAATAAATTATGATATAACTGGAATTAGCATGAGTCGTACAACCGTAAAGAGCAATGGGCCCTTAATCCACTTGGCCCTTCCGTGAAATTTTTTAGTCTTAACACACAGTAATTTGAGCGAGTGTGATACCTATATGTGCAAACAACATGAGTTTGATAACATTATTGCTACATAGCTTGAGCTCAATATATTGGCATCACACCCATGAATTTAATATATTGCACTCATGAGTATATTGGTATCACTTTCAAATTTTCTGCCCTATATAAGAGTATGATTTTTATATCAGTCCAATATATTGGAATCACACTTTTTTTTTTTTTTGGGTATAATGTAAAAAGCGTAAGGGCACTGGTGGTAGGTTTACCATTTATAACTTTCTGACTGGAACGTAACCACTGTATCTATGATATTAAATCATAAAATGAAGATGGAGATGTAGGTAGCTAGCTGCATTTTCCCTTTCTTCCTCCTCTGATGCAGAGTTCTAATACTATGACCAATACTTTTCAGTCGACCTTATGTTCGTATTAAATATAGATCGATTCCCCAGAATTAATCAGTCTCCCCGCAATGTTTCTGAGGCTAACAAATGCATTGAAGAAAGGAAATAATGACACAAAATCTTCTTTAACTTGTTGGTAGTTAATTAAGAATTTGATGAAGCATTGCGTGAAGAATATGTATGAGATAGTAGCATGTATAGAGACATATAGTCATATTCTGGCCAAACGCCAAGGTCCCCAACCATTTCCAATTATGATGCGCAATAAGTCAAAGGCCATCATGACAGTAATAAATGAATGATGGTCCAGTGAAATTTATGGTGTATGGTAAAGAAATTCTATGATCATATATTGTTGTATACTTGCATGGATGGCTACTAGCAACTGAAAGCGTTTTGATGTGATGCATGCATGCATGGTTTTGTGTATATATATTTAGGGTTTAGGCAACAAGCAACAATCGTAATATGAATATATTTAGGGTCAACTACGGTTGAATTTTGGTTGGAATTGGCTAAATAATGTGCTTTACTTTCTGCACTCCAGTTAATTTATTTTTACGTAGATGTCCCGTCGTTTAATTGAACGAAAATAGGTTTGGTACCAGTTTCGTAGAATTTTGCAAAACCATTAAAAACGTATGTAACATGTTTGTGAAAATTGAATGCAATAGTTCAGTTTCTGCAAGATGTTTTCATGCTCGGTAAGAAAATAATGTAAATCATTTGAAATTGGTCTTATCATTTTTTAAGTCTCATAATCAACTCTAGGTCAATAAAATGAATATCTCTATTAATTAATGAAATCCTCTTTATCAACTAAAAAAAATGGTGAAAAGACTAATTAGTCTTTTATTACAAAAAAAAAATAAAAATGATGGGCAATAATGTAATTTCATAGGTCCAAATTTTACTATTTTTTATTGGAACATCACCTACAGGTGATGTTAAAATATCTCTAATATTTAAATTTAAAAAAAAACCAAAAACAAAAACCTCCCCCGCCCCCCCCCCCCCACGTTCTCTCTCCCTCTCCCTTTCATTTTCTAAAAAAATGTGTTTATACACACAAAGTGTGTAGGCAAATGCTAGTAAATATAAAAGCTATTCAACCTATTCTTATCAAGTTTGTGCACTCAATTAAGAGAAAGTAGGGATGACAACGGTTCGGTTTGAGGACGGAAATGCTATATTCATCTTCATAACCATGAAAATTAACCATATCCATAACCGTCAATTAACCATCGGGTAACGGATTCCCCATCGATTAATGGTTATACCCATCTTCATCAATACAAAAAATATATTAGTTCAATTGAAGCATGATAATTTAGTAAATATTAATTTCGTCATTAAATATTTGATGTATAAAATGATTTAATGAATGAATCTTGTGGAGCATAAAAATTAAAGTAAACATTGATAATGTTGGCTGATCTTTGATATCTCCCGTAAGTACTATTGGTCTGGATTTTCATAGATTTTGATTCATATCAAAACTTTTTATTGCCGACAGTGCAACTTTTGTATTCTCAAGGTAATGAATTTAGTGAATAATAAATAAATAAATATTATATAATACAATTATATTATATATAATTCGGTTTGGATTCAGGGATAGATATGGATTGTTGACCCCTATAACCATATCCAAAACCATAACCGGATATTATTCACGGTTTTTCCCCATATCCAAAATATACCCGAATATTCATACCCAAATCCAATTTATTTGGACGGTTATCCACGGTTATCAGTTTTAACCGTTAGAATTGTCATCCCTAAAAGAAAGTCTTGAGTGATACTGTCGTATGGGGCACACACTCCTAAAGTTGTGGGATTAGAGAACATGTTACCATGCTACTGCATTCATGAAGAAAAACTTCTTTTCAATGGAGGTAAATAAGTTCTTCTCTTTGTAAATCTCTTCACATTAAGTCATATAATTACGAGATGCAGAAACATGGGTGTTTACCTCGGTGACATGGAAAGTTTATACGCATTCATGGTACGGATTGAAAGGTGTTTTGAGTTACAGTATATGAAAAAGGATTACATTTACCATAAGATGGAGAGACTCTGCAATGCATGCAAGATGCCCTAGTACAGTAATACTTGTAATATTATTTGATCTCTGGTCTCTCCATCAGGATTATTCAGGACTGGTACTTAAATATGCTTCTGGCCTGTTAAAAACTTAATATTGATAGTACTCCACAGCAGCTATTGTGATAGTCTGCTCTGATCTTTCCCCTATACTTCACTGTTGATTAAGAAGAGTTTCTTTGGCACTGAAACCTGGAGATTTGAGTTCTCTCATAATCATGATATATATGGTGCTTGTGTCTGCGTGCTAGCTTAGCCAGTGTGAAGAAAATTGAGGTTTCAATATGGAGAGTAGCACAAAAGCTCTTATAAGCTTTTAAAAAGTTTCTCTTTTAACTGATGTGAGATTCTTTTACCTTCACATTCTTACACGCTTTGTCATGTGCGACAAATTTTCAAGCCAAACACATGGACAAAGCAAATTGGGTGATGTAGAGCATGTGTGACCGTTGGGCTTCACACGTGAGCCAGTCTGCTCTGATACCATGAAGAGAGTTGAGGTTCTATAAGACCAATTGGCAATATGAGAAGTACCCAACCTTTTATAATCCCTTGCAAGGTTTCTCATGTTACCGATATAAGACTATGTTACCTTCACATCTTTACATAATGTACGTGACTAATAATGGTAATAATGGGGTAGCTAGAACTTGGAGTATGGGAAAAATCACAAGTACCATAACTCTCTGCTATGAGTTATCACCCAAAGTGGATCAGGAATTCATCATCAAAGTTACAGATTGTGGTTGCACTTTTGCCACTGTTACACTATTATACTAGTCTCTCAACCATCAAATCAAAGTGGAAATTATTGTGGTAAACTAGAGCACGAACGTTTGATCAGACTTGGAGTTGAGTCGTAACAATATTGTACTTAAAGATGATGCATGGAAAAACTTGCAAACTTGGCCATGTTTGATACAGAGAAGTTATAGTTCACAATGCAATATGCGTGCATGTTGACAAACTTCTCTTCTTAAATACGCTGGCTAGCTTTTTAATTCATTTTTGGGACATAAAACTCTATCATGCATGGTAGTCATCAAGTTAATTAGTTATCAGTTTTTGTTTAGTGATTGCTTTTAGTTAGAAAAAATGAAAACTAAAAATTACGTTATAAGTTTTCAAAACTTGGAGTGAATAGTTTTCATTTTTTTTAAGAAAAAAGTTAAAGTGAAATAGTTATTAGTATGATTATCAAAAGGCTCTTGGACAAAAAACAAAAAAATTTAACTTAATTATAGTAATGGTCCCTAAAAACATTTACTTAAACGTGAAAGTGACCAACTATTCATATTCTAAAACCATCGATCTTAAACAGAAAATGCATGCGTAATTGCGTATGAATCCATTTACTATTGAATTAATTTTTTTATACAATCAAGCAACAGAAAAGGGATCCTCTTCGGATCCCTTCCACCAAATCCACCCAATCACCCAATTTGGACATTTGAAATTTGATCCAATTGCTAAAAACAGGGGATCATTTTAAAAGTTATAATGACTTTAGCAGTTTGATCAAATTTCAAGAGCCTGGATTGGGTGGATTTGATGGAAAAGATCTGGAAAGGATCCCCTTCCCAACCAACGTGGTATCATAACATTAATACGTATATTATATTATATTATATATATATATATAAATTAAAGGGAATTTTTACTTTATCATCCTCAAATTTATCAAAATTTGTTTTTTACTACACTTTTTTCGTCTTATTTTTATATTTAAAGTTACAATTTCTTGTCAAAATCATACTTCTCTTAGTCTTTTTGTTAAGTTCTCCATTAAACAATAATGTGACAGGTTTTTGACCCATCAAAAAGTTTAAAATTATCCAAAACTCATAATTCCTTTTTTATTACTTAAAAGAATCATAAATATTGGAATTTTTTTTTAAAATTAAAATACAAAAAATAAAAAATATTTTCTCTGCCACTCCCATTATCTCATCCTCACTCGTGCAACCTCCTACATAATATTCCCACCGCCACCGGACGCTCCCCCACCCCATACCAACCTGACCCACTCCAACTCTACACCAACGCAAGCGCAACTCCCTTATCCTTATCCCGGCGGGTACTCGTCCCACTTGTGTTTATCTTCCCGTTGAACATGTTCGTGTAGTTCACCTCTGTCGCGTTGTCCAAAACGTCATCGCTTGGCACTGTGTAGCCGAGTCTTGGTACGAATTGATTATAAATGGGAATTTGGTTTGGCGGTGAATTTGAGAATTGGAGTTACAATGACTTGTCGTAGCAGGTCTAGAATCGACTTTGACTTGGTGGACGCATGTTGGGGGCTTGAGCGCTGAGAGCAGATGTGCGATGCTCTTTGTGTCAAAAGTCCAATCTCAGCCCTTGTGGACGAGAAATTTTTAGTTGTGATAAAAATATAAATGGTACATCACGTGTTTTAATAGGAATAGAGGGAAATTTTATTTTTTAAATTAATAATTTTTTAGCACACATATCCGACCATTTGTTTAGTGACACGTGATATACCACCCCGTATACCGGTCACACTGAAGAATCTCTCCTTGTGGATAGCCTGCGCCCCAGGTTAAATGCCCCCACTCGCCACTCTCCATAAGAGACGAGAGATTTTCAATGTGACCCTCACACGAGGTGGTACATCATGTGTCCCTATATAAATAGTGGAATATGTGTGTTAAAAAGCTAATAACTTAAAAATTAAAAATTTTCAACACTTACATAAAAACACGTGGTGTACCATCCATGTTCCCGTCACAACTAAAAATTTCTCATAAGAGACAAAGGAAGAGGGTGAGATTGTACTAGTATTCGAAAAGTGCAGGCAAAGATTTTTAATTTTTTTTCCAATTTTGCAGGTTTTCGAAATATTTTTTGGTAAATAACTAATTGAGTTTATTTGTTGACTTCTTCGATTTTTTTTATTTTATTTTTATGTGACACCATCTGTTGATTCTAAAAACTACAAAACTTACGTGGCGTGTAGGCCGAATAACTAATGAGCTAATTACGTCTTTCGGTTAATGCGGGGTGTGCCAACTCGTCGGCCAAGGAATAAAATTTGTTGATGTTGCGTTGAATGCGCTACTGACTTCTTGATCTTGCAACTGCGAGTGAGGAAGGAACACATCTCGGTCTTCGGGTTCTCGAGCCTGAAGACAAGGCTGCTAGTTCTGCGAAGTTCACGAATCGTCAGAGTCGGGTTCGGTTTGAGTGATTATATTCGTAAGAGTATAAGCACGTTGAACCGGCTCCAAACTATACGGACACAAGTACTCAAAAGAGATGTATGTCTTGATGATAAATGTGGTTCGGCCGTCAGAATGCCGAACTCTGAAACTCACTTGTGAGTATCCAATCATAAAATCACTCGGCTTTCAATGTGCCAAATGTAGTAACTTGTAACACCTTACTTCACCGAGAAGGTTAATAAGATGACATCTGCCAATAAGGATTCGGAAACCCTTCTCGACCGAGACTTGGATAGGTAACCAGTCGGGCTCAATGCAGTGTTGTTTATCCAAACTGAAGGTGCTCCTTGGTCGGCTGATTCTACGGCAACAGTGCTGTTTATCCAAACTGAAGGTGTGTTGGCAGAAAAAAAAAAAGAAAAGAATCTCAAGATGTTTGAAAGGTTTGCGCAGCAATTTGTGTGTTGAATTGGAGGAGACTTTGGTTGTCTGCCGTTTGGTATTTATCGAGATTTGCATGCCCAAGTCGCGAAAACCCAATCTTAGTTGCACTGTGACTCTGAGTCTTTATTGGTTGCTAACCTCACGTTTTTGTCAATCAAAACTGGCTGTCATCTTGCAACCTGATGCAATCTTGTTTCGATGTTTTGACTAAATTATTGGCATAATTCCATGAATATCCAATGGTACTTTTATCTCATCATCATAACCTTTATCCACACATGCGTAATAACCTTCTGCCCATGTGCATGCATGATGACTCCTTTACCAGCTTAAACTCTTAAAAAGTAATTCTAATTGATAAAGTATAATCACCAATTCCTAGATAAGACCACGTGCACCAATCCCATCCATGAATTCCAAGTCAATTTGAACTGCACCACCCACTTCTATATCAGAAAATAGGACTTAAAGTTTTGGTAATAATTAGCCACGTAGGAGACTGCATGCACTTGGAGTCTGATATGATGAGCCAATTCGAATGTCTCCGCACAAGAAGACATATCAGATCATCTTTTCCAAAACAACCAACTGGATATATCAAAAATTAGATTTTAACTATCCTAGTTAATATTAAGAGATAATATTATGATTAAAATCATAATATTACTTCTCAATAATAACTAAAAATCATTTCAACCACTTTATCATCCAACGGTCTAATATCTGCTTATTCAACAGTCTCGATTGCTCGAGCCAATGGTGTAATTTTCAGCCCAAACACCATCATTTAATGGAAGACTTAATCGATAGACTAATAGAAATATGATTTTGGAAGAAACACGTACTTTAAATATGAATGTAAAACAACAAAAAATAAGTATAGTAACGTGAGAATTTTGATAAACTTAAGAATAACAAAGTGTAAATTACCCATAAATTAATTATGGAAAAAGAAACTTTAAGCGTAGCTGCTGTCCGATACGATGTTTTCAACTAGACGTACGTGGGACACAGATAGGGATGGGCAATCATTATGGTGGACGGGTAATCACCGTTTATACTCATACTTGCATAACTGTTTACTGGTTGGGTAATTGCCTAAACGATTATACTCATACCCATAACCTTTTATAAACGGTTAACCATACCCATAATCGCGTACTCATTTAACCGTAACCGTATACCCATTTATCCATACTCGTTTATGTATTTTTTAACCCATTTACCCCTTTTTATGCCTATTTACATTTTTTTTTTAACCATAACCGTGTACAATTCCAATAATTGAAATAATAAAGACGAACGATAGTTTTAATCAATCAAGGTAATATAATATATTTGCTAATAATTGATTTTTTAGTAACAAAATACCTCTCATTACTTGAGCAAGCATATTGGAAAGAAAATTCATGTATTTTCGACATATTTTTCTTCTATACCCAAGCAAGTATTCAATTATAACATTAAAAAAAAATTAAAAAAAATCACAACGGCTCTAACCCTGGCCTAGTAAATATAGCAGTCCAAATATTAGTTCTCAGAGAAAGAAAGGATAGTTGGACAAATAGATCATAAATTCCACATTGGTGTTAAAAAAAATAAAAACCCATTTGTTCCCGATATAAATAGTCACGCAATGTTGCCATTCTAGGTCCCAACACAATAGTAACGCAATGTTACAGAAAAGGAAATTCTAGTTGCTGGCTAACTAGCTACCTCTCTAATCTTAACATCACCATTTCCACCAAGATATATACTAAATCCGTCAAGCTAGACAGATGAGAAAGTCTGGTTCCTATGCGGCGTCAGGGATAAAGAGAGGTGCATGGACTCCTGAAGAGGACAGAAAGCTTTTAGCTTACATTCAACTACACGGCCATGGAAGCTGGCGTTCCTTGTCCCAGAAAGCTGGTATGTACTTATGGGATGATTTTAGGGTTGTGGTTATTGCGAGTTGTACGGCCTGCAGACGTTTTTGATGTACCGTTATCTTACATCAAATGAATGTTGTTTCCTTAAAAGAACCTAAATATCCTCCTCATCTTGCATGTAGTTAATTTGCTGATTATAGCCTCAATTAACTTGGTCTTCTGTTTATATCCATACAGGTCTAAAAAGATGCGGAAAGAGCTGTAGGCTAAGGTGGATAAACTACCTCAGACCTGATATTAAGAGGGGAAATTTCAGTTTGTACGAAGACCAAACCATCATTCAACTCCATGCACTTCTTGGCAACAGGTAAAATATATTATTAACATTAATATTATTCTTAAACATTTACGTACAATAACTTTGATTCAAGAGAGCCTTTTTATATTAAATATTTAGGGCATGCATGCATATTATCGTAGAACTTAATTTGTTGGTTTTCCTTTATTTTTGTTTTTTTTTGGTTCATTTTTCTTTTGTGATATCAATAAAACATACAAAACATTCTTGAAATAGTTACCTTCAGAAAATTAGAATGATAGTGAAAATGCTTATGTGCCTTGGTTTTCCTTTACTCTTATACTATATATCGTACTTCCATGCGAGCTAATGGTGGATGTATAAATATCCATGTATGATCTGTAGGTGGTCGGCCATAGCTACATACTTACCAAAAAGAACAGACAACGAGATCAAGAATTACTGGAACACACATCTGAAGAAAAGGTTGGCAAAGATAGGGTTGGACCCTGCAACCCATAAGCCCAAGGCTGCCATTCTTGGCTCTGCAAATGGCGACCCCAAAAACTTGTCAAATCTCAGCCACATTGCTCAGTGGGAAAGTGCCAGGATTCAAGCCGAAGCAAGATTTGTCAATGAATCCAAACCACGTATGCATGCATCTGCGCCAGCGGCGTCGCTTTCCGATGAGCACCATCAGTTTGCTCCACCACTAGTTCCACAGTGCCTGGACATTCTACGAGCATCCGCATGGGAAAGCCTAATATCCATGTCAAAGTCATCGTCAAGATCGGCTGCCCTAATCGACGATACAAACGGCCAGGGTAATGTTTCATTCGGTGATCATCATCATGTTCATGATCATGGTGTTAATATGGACGGCCAAGATTATGGTCCTAATTTTGAGGCTCCAACATATATTCCAACATCTGACCAACAATTATCAAGCCTGATGGGATATGATGATGCAACGCTCATGTCAGTACCCACTGGATCGATGGATATTTATGAACTTTTCGGTCAGTACTGTGGTAATGAATGCAGTGAATCATTGGCGGCACTCCACCACAATCTCGGGTCTGAATTCGAGGATGCTTGGAATAGTTTGGAACAAATTATGTAAGAAGCAGGTGACATTTCTGATGATTAATTCTCCACGGCACCACTTGCAAGAAATTGTAGAACTAGCTACTAAAGTTGGCGATGGTTTTATTAGGGTTTACGATGTAATATAAGTACTTATTGGAGAATTGAAGATCATCCAATTAATGATGCATTAATATTGATCACCAGCTTTATAATTGATGTGTCTCTTCTACTCTAGTTTAACTAATAATATTATTATGTTCAGCCTCTTACCGCCAAGAAACAAAAAAAAGGGAATAGAAAAAGAACATGAAAAGAAATATATAACAAAATACTTCGTTTGGACCTCTTCCTAATCTTAACAAATAAACATTTATTTACTTAAGGTTAGTTTTGTAAGGGTGATGGTAAATTAAAGAGTCTTACTATGCTTTTCCAGAAATTTTATGAATTTCATAATTAGTTTCTTATCTTCATTTAGAAGCTAGAGTTCTATTGTACATATATACATACTATTTTCAAGTGGTTGAAATTCATTTGTTGAGTTTCATTGTAATCTTGACTCTTGAGATAGAACATCCAACCTTAAAATTTCAACACTACATATTGGCTATACATTTGTATATCGTAGAAGGCGGAAAGAGATCCTCTCCGGATCTCTTCCACCAAGATCACCGGATCAAGTGATCCAAGCCTTTGAAATTTCATCCAACGGCAAAAAATTATTATAGCTTTTAAGGAATCAAAACAGGTGGATTGTTGGATGAAATTTCAAATGTCTGGATTACTTGATCTGGTGGTCTTGATGGAAGAGACCTGGAGAGGATCTCTTTATGTAGAAGGCAGCCCAAGCGTACCCCTGCACATTAATTTGGTGATGTGCCAAAACTTGAATGTATCATCATGTATATATGGACCGTGGCCTATATTTAAAAACTTTAAACAAATATAGTCGGCTATATATAATATATAATTGTATATATTTAGATTGACCGCGCGATATATGATAATATATAAAATCACATGCATCTGTGGATATTTTCATGTATTAATGTTGTCTTTCACCCCAGATACATATGGACCATGCTAGCTATGACTTGTGACATGCATATGTGAGCTGACTACGAGTTTGTTTGGATGTGCTTTCAAAATAACTGAAAGCGCTTTTAAATAAAATATTTTGGGTTCCAAAAGCACTTTAAGTGCTTTCTCTAAGAAGCACCAGTTATATGCTTCTTTCAGGAAACACTTTAAGTGCTTTTCAAGGATTTACTAACATTTTTTCTAAGGATTGCTTTCAAAAATATTTTCACCAAAAGCACTTTCAGTCATGTTTTAAAAGCACATCCAAATGAGCTCCACATCGTTGATTATTTGTTCAACATTATGCACGTGTGTCCCGCCATGCATGCCCTAAAATGGTAAACTGTTTTATTTGTTTAGTTAAGTTCTGCCTTGACCTTCACAAGCTTCAAAATTAAAGCCTTCATATTGATAAGTTATCTTCATGTAACTTGGCGTACGTAGGGTTCCCACACCATCAAATCGCCAAAAATATAACACCAACAGGCAAGCACTGTGTTGGCCTATTGCCATTTGTGATGGGTACAGTTAATTAGTTAATCTTCTTGTGAAATATTATATAGCGGATCAATTAGCAAACTAGCTAAAATAATAATAATATAGATATTGGCCTTCTTGTGTTTTCTGTGATGTTTTGAGTTAGTTGTTGGGTTGTTTTTCCTCGTTCTTTACCCCCAAAAGAGAAAAACAATCAAGAAAAATTGAAACTTGAACTTTCAACATAGAAAGAGGAATAACGCTAATGGGAGAAGGCTCTTTCGGTTATGTATTCAATAACCAAAATATTAGACAAAAAGAACTTTATCTTGCAAGATTATAATAGTAAAGAAGCATCTAAAAACTGTAAAAACAAAAGAGATACATAAAAGAGACAATTGTAAAAGGCAAGAAGCACACATTTGATGTAGCTGGGAATTAGATGGAAAATCACATAGTACATAGTAATGTATATGATATATATTGAATATAATGTACCGGTTGAGTGGTTGTGCGTTACAGATTTTCAAGAATTTTAGCGGGTGATCTTGAGCCGCTTTAAAGACTATATATTATACTAATATACAATAGAACTCGACAATCTGATACATAAGCAAACGTAATGCATTAAAATTACATAACAAATAAAGTTTATATGCACGCGCCAAATTAATGTTTACAAGTAATAGATTTCTTAGTCCTTACATGTTAAGAAGCCAAGTATGTTCCGTTATGGATTGAGATCCTCTCTGGATCTCACACTCTAGAGCATGCAGACGATTTAATTTAAATCTTGCGGTTCCCATTAACATGTCTCATTGGCCTACTTTACAGTTACACACAATCTCTATATTCAACGCTTATATATCTCTTTCTTGAACGTTGTGAATTGCTTGATCTGTGAACTCCAGAATGTGAGATCTAGAGATAATCTCAACGCTTCAGTTATGTTAATTAGTTATGGCAAGTAAATACATTAGGCCATGCATGAAAATTGAACTAGTGAAGGCATTATGGGCCTAAGCATTATTGGTCGTGATCTGTTTAACAAATAAACATTTATTTACTTAAGGTTAGTTTTGTAAGGGTGATGGTAAATTAAAGAGTCTTACTATGCTTTTCCAGAAATTTTATGAATTTCATAATTAGTTTCTTATCTTCATTTAGAAGCTAGAGTTCTATTGTACATATATACATACTATTTTTAAGTGGTTGAAATTCATTTGTTAAGTTTCATTGTAATCTTGACTCTTGAGATAGAACATCCAACCGTAAAATTTCAACACTACATATTTGCTATACATTTGTATATCGTAGAAGGCGGAAAGAGATCCTCTCCGGATCTCTTTCACCAAGACCACCGGATCAAGTGATCCAAGCTTTGGAAATTTCATCCAACAGTAAAAAATTATTATAGTTTTTAAGGGATCAAAACAGGTGGGTTGTTGGATGAAATTTTAAAGGCCCGAATTACTTGATCTGATGGCCTTAGTGGAAGAGATCCGGAGATGATCTCTTTATGTAGAAGGCAACCCAAGCGTACCCCTGCACATTAATTCGGTGATGTGCCAAAACTTGAATGTATCATCATGTATATATGGACCGTGGCCTATATTTAAAAACTTTAAACAAATATAGTCGGCTATATATAATATATAATTATATATATTTAGATTCACCGCGCGATATATGACAATATATAAAATCACAGTGGATATTTTCATGTATTAATGTTGTCTTTCACCCCAGATGCATATGGACCATGCTAGCTATGACTTGTGACATGGATATGTGAGCTGATTACGGGTTTATTTGGATGTGCTTTTAAAATAATTGAAGGTGCTTTTAAATAAAATGTTTTTGGGTTCCAAAAGCACTTTAAGTGCTTTCTCCAAGAAGCACCAGTTATGTGCTTCTTTCAAGAAGCACTTTAAATACTTTTCAAGGATTTACTAACATTTTTTCTAAGGATTGCTTTCAAAAATATTTCACCAAAAGCGCTTTTAGTCATGTTTTAAAAGCACATCCAAATGACCTCGACATCGTTGATTATTTATTCAACATTATGTACGTGTGTCCCGCCATGCATGCCCTAAAATGGTAAACTGTTTTATTTGTTTAGTTAAGTTCTGCCTTGGCCTTCACAAGCTTCAAAATTAAAGCCTTCATATTGATAAGTTATCTTCATGTAACTTGGCGTACGTAGGGTTCCCCACCATCAAATCGCCAAAAATATAACACCAAAGGGCAAGCATTGTGTCGGCCTATTACCATTTGTGATGGGTACAGTTAATTAGTTAATCTTCTTGTGAAATATTATATGGCGGATCAGTTGGCAAACTAGCTAAAATAATAATATAGATATTGGCCTTCATGTGTTTGATAATTAATCCTCTATTTGGATTGGATCGCCTCTCAGAGATGATAATTTTGGGGTGTCTCAGACTTCTTGTGTTTTCTGTGATGTTTTGAGTTAGTTGTTGGGTTGTTTCTCCTCGTTCTTTACCCCCAAAAGAGAAAAACAATCAAGAAAAATTGAAACTTGAACTTTCAACATAGAAAGAGGAATAACACTAATGGGAGAAGGCTCTTTCGGTTATGTATTCAATAACCAAAATATTAGACAAAAAGAACTTTAGCTTACAAGATTATAATAGTAAAGAAGCATCTGAAAACTGTAAAAACAAAAGAGATACATAAAAGAGACAATTGTAAAAGGCAAGAAGCACACATTTGATGTAGCTGGGAATTAGATTGAAAATCACATAGTACATAGTAATATATGATATTATTGAATATAATCACCGGTTGAGTGGTTGTGCGCTACAGCTTTTCAAGAATTTCAGCGGGTGATCCTGAGCCGCTTTAAAGACTATATATTATACTAATATGCAATAGAACTCGACAATCTGATACATAAGCAAACGTAATGCATCAAAATTACAAAGCAAATAAAGTTTATACGCATGCGCCAAACTATTATTTACAAGTAGTAGATTTCTTAGTCCTTACACGTTAAGAAGCCAAGTATGTTCCCTTATGGATTGAGATCCTCTCCGGATCTCACACTCTAGAGTTTGCGGACAGTTTAATTTAAATCTTGCAGTCCCCATTAATGCGTCTCACTGGCTTACTTTACAATTACACACAATCTCTATATTCAACGCCTATATATCTCTTTCTTGAACGTTGTGAATTGCCTGATCTGTGAACTCCAGAATGTGAGATCTAGAGATAATCTCAATGCTTCAGTTATGTTAATTAGTTATGGCAAGTAAATACACTAGGCCATGCATGAAAATTGAATTAGAGAAGACATTATGGGCCTAAGCATTATTGGTCTTGATCTGTTTAACAATATAGGCCCTAATAGTTTAGTTTTAAGCCCAAAAGATTTGTGGTTCTATCTTAAGCGTGTATTACAAACATTCCAAACGTGTTATTCAATCCGGAACGGAATCCCCTCTGTACCCTTTGAAACTGAGTCTCCTGATCAAGGAATTCAGACCGTTGGATCAAATTTCAGCTGTTCAGATTCCTTGATCAGAGGCTCAGTTTACAAAGATCCGGAGAAGATCCGGTTTCCTTCAACCCCAAATTCCGTTGACTCTCAGTCAAAAAACCAATCCCATCCTCACACGTGTCAAGTTCCGGTAAGCCGATTGCTCTCCACCAATGCGCGAGTAGAACTAGACTCTCCTGTTTGTCGTCACTTGCGCCATAATATTGGGCTCACCGCTACTCGCAGACGGCAGTCTCTTCGTCACTCTCTTCTCTGCAACCGGAACCAGAAATTTTCCGCTGCGGTTGAGCTCCATGGTAAAGCCTGCGTCTCCGGCCGCGATGAAGTCGACGGCGTCGGTAATCAAAGCCTACTCTTTGCCTCTGATTCTCTTCGCTGCCGCCATGTTCTTCCAGCTCTTCGTTATTCCCAAATCCTTCCCTCCCTCTCACTACGATAGTAACTCTCTCTCTCCCTCTCTCTCCCCACACACACATATACACATATTGTATGAATATGGATTGTGAATGATTGCTTGGTTGATTGAATTGTTGCAGTTCTTGGTATAAGGAGCTATAGCTCCATTGAAGAAGTGAAAGAGGCGTATGAAAATATTTCTTCAGTCTGGTATGTCGTTTTAATGGCTGAAATTGCTCAATTTGATTGGTTTTGGTAATTTCCGGAAGAAGAAGAAGGCTCTGTGTGTCAAAGTTTGAAAAAACACAATCTGAAATGCTTCAATTTTTCATGCTTTTCAGGAATTCAGACGGGCAGGCTCCGGATACTTCCGATTTTATCAAGGTTAGTGAACTCGGTGGTTTCTCCGCGGGGCGGAGTTTTATTGTTAACATGTAGATGAAAAACTTCATGTGACCTGATTTATCAAATATGCAATCAGATGATAAAATTATATGGCTTTACCAAAGAATGAGAGAAAATATGTTGAATTGTGCATTTTTTATTACTAATCTTTTGAATACATTACGCGAAAATGGTCGTTTTGTATATAACAAGGAAAAGATGCATCTTTTACTTAAAAATTATGAGTTTTTTGTTCACTATTTTCGAATAGAAATAATAAGATAACTGCTGTGTCAATGCTTTTAGAATGAGTAGTTTTCGTAGTCAGTATTTTGGCTTGCTCTCTGTTCTTTCGTTTATACTATTGATCTAAGTATGACATCAGGATGTAAGTGCAGATTCAATATGCTTTTGAGTTGCTGGCAAATCCAGTGTGGAAAAGAAACTATGACATATTCGGCATCGATGAGCAAATAGTGAGTTCTCCCTCCCATTCCAAGGCTTATCGACATCTTACGTGTCCAGCTTGTAGTTCCATCCATGTTCTTTTTTCGCTAACCTCTGCGGCGTGCTCAACTGTCCTATTAATTTCCCTTTTTTGACCTTAGGATGTGGTTGAGAAGGTCACAGAGCAAAATAAAGGAGAAAGCTTTTCGAAGATAGACCTTCCTTTGCTAGAGTCTGTTGCTTATGGTTGGAACTTAATCTTTTCATCATGTTAACATTTCAGTTACATTAACGTTGTTGTTTTTTTTTTTTTTCTTAGAACAATTATTAAAGGATTTCTATTATTTCTACACTGATTAATAAGTGTAATCTTTTCTTTTTAATAGAAACTGAAGACCATGATGGTACAGTCATGACCTCCAAGGATTTTCAGACTATGTTCGAGGGTAACAAACCATGGCTGATTCAGGTAAAGCCACGTTATAAACGATGCCTTGCATACAATGTCCGGCATATGCTTATATCTTCTCTTTGGTTTACCTCCCCTTCCATTAGATTTTTACTTTAAATTAATGAGGTGCATGCATAACCCGACAGACTAACCTATTTTGTTATAAAGTTCTAGCCAACACATAACTAGAATGTGCATGCATGTTCAGTCATAAAATAGCCTTATATATATTTCTTGTCGTATTTTGTTATCAAGATAACTTCTTTTATTTATCTTTTAAAAGTTACTGACTCTGTGCTTGTTGGGATTTGGACCAGGTGTGCTCATTTGGGAGCAAAAGCTGCTATCAGTTTTCTGATGTGTGGAAGAAAATTGGTACGATTTCAGTTTGGAGAACCTGATTTAAGATTCTTTACCTGTATTTGAAATGGTTTCGTGAAAGGTGAATACATGTTTAGTGGCTAATTCATGCACTAAACAGAGTGGAGACCGTGTTTTACCAATTGATTAGTTGGTTTTGTCTCCATAAGTTTAACCACTCAGATTGACTGGGAAAAATTTCTCTCTTCTACGTTCTGATCCAGGATTGTATGTTTAAATTTGTTTATTCCTTTTAAGAAATAAATATTCATACATTCCAAGCATTATAGTCACAACTTTACAACCCATTATTTCCCTTCTTTTATTTGTTTCCCTCTTTAAATTCCAATATTTGACTCAAAATATTATTTTTATTTATGACAATTTTTGTTTGAGAATATGATCATTTTGTTTTGTTACCCTCTAGCTGTTTTTCTGAATGGTGTGGCAAATACTGGTATGTTGGAACTTGGAGAGCTTCAGCTAGCGACACATTTTGCTGAGAGAAAACCAACTGGACAACCTTTCTTCAGGAATGGTAAGTGGTTTGATAATGATCAATATTACCTGCTGTTATTTTCCAAAGATTCAATTCGTATTTAATTGCAGGTCTTGGAATTTGTGAATGTGAACTAAAAAACTGCTCAAGAATATGCATATTTTGATAAATAAATGGTTGGAAATAGACAAAGTTAGGGGCATAATCTTTAGAAATAAGATCTTGAAACTTAAGGGATATTCATTACACATAATACTGCATCTTTTATCCCTGGGCATTGTATCTATTGTGCCAACTGGTACCAGGACTATGGGGCTGCTGAACTACTAAGCAATCGTAAATTTGACTCTGAATTTTTTGGCACGGAAACTGTTTCGTGATGAAGTCTTTTCATTTCTTGTTTCATGTTTCTAACTGCATATCAATCTCTTACAGGCATTCCTTCTCTTGTTGCTTTTCCGCCGGGGTGTAAAACTGCCAATTGTTTTATTAGGTGAGGTTTTCAGTAAGCTGTAAGATTAACAATATTGTAAAGATTGATTTTTTATTTCCATGGCAGAAGAGTTTAGATACTCTGCTATATCTATATATAAGGGCAAGTATTTCTTTCTGTCTTTTCCTTCTTGCTTGATATGATCAAGCACATCATGTTTCCTTCATTAGTTATGGATGACATCTTAGTCTGAGTCTTTTGTCTCAGGTATGAAGGAGATCTCTCTGTTGATTCAATCACAGATTGGTTTGCAACAACCATACTTGGTTTGCCTCGTATTCTTTACTACTCAAAGGAGACACTGGTAATTCTATGAGAAGATTTCTTTCCTTCTCCTCTCTAACTTAAGATTAAATACAACTTTGTTCAAAATATAAGTTTGATGCAGTATAAGGTTATCCAATCTGTTTTTGTCATCTAATTTTACTTTTGCTTCGCTGATTTAGGCGTATTATTAATTCACCTTTCATTTTTTTCCACTTTTCTGCTCTTTATTTTCCGTCACCCAAACATACCCCAAAATGATATGAATGCGTACTTCAATTTTCAGGGGCAGAAGTTTCTAGCAAAAGTTAGTCTTCATAAGGTACACTTGCAGATTCAATATTTTTCTAATGCATTTAAATTGATTAACGTATAAATAGATGCCTCCACAACATGCTGCTATCTATTGTTAATACTTTTGACCTGTCACTTGGATAATGGTTTTGTTCTTCTGGCTCATAGGTAAGAGTCATTTTCTTCTCAAAAACGGGGGTGCGTGCTGCTCCATTCATACGCCAAGCTGCTAAAAATTATTGGGCTCATGCTTCTTTTGCATTCGTGTTGTGGCAAGAAGAGGAATCTTCCTTTTGGTTTAATTCGTGAGTGGCTAATCTAATTATTATTATTTTTTTTTGGTGAAGAGTGGCTAATCTAATATTAATCCTCCTGAAAGAGTACAGTTTCAGATTTTCAAAATTTTTATGTGAACTGAGTCTATAATAACACAAACACCACTATTGTCAGTTGGAACTTCAACTGTTACCATAAGTTGGATACCAAAATTTATGCATCTGTGATTCAGAAGAACTCTTATGTTTTCCAACAGGTTTGAGGTGGAATCTGCACCTGCTATAGTGATTTTGAAAGATCCTGGTGTCAAACCTGTTGTGTACCACGGTACATAACTCTCTTAACCCTCTAGAACAATTTTATAAACTTTTGTGCTTCATGTGATAACCAAAGCCGTATGTTTTGACTTGCAGGATCTTTTGACTACTCACAGTTCTTAAATATTATGGAGCAAAATAAACAACAAGGTACTGTTATCTTCTTGCGACGTTCTTCATTTAATATGAAAGAGTGCATTACAAAGCTTACATAGGTTGGCCTTGACCTTAACCTATTAGCAATATACCTGGACTCTCAAAAAAGTAGGTCAGACCATACAGTATATTCAATAAGCTGCTTTGGATTCCCTATTCATTTACTAGTGGATCTATGTAACAAAAAATAATGCATCAAATTTTCTGGTGGTAGTGAAGTGTACTTTTGAACTTTTTGTAGTAATTTGCAGTAAGACTAATTAATTCCCATTTATTTCTCACACGTTCTTTCAGAGCTACCTCAGTTGAGGAGTACGACATCCATGGAATTGGGTTGTGATTCTCGAGGTTATTCTCGTGCTGGATATGATACCGTTACTTGGTACTGTGCTGTTGTAGCAGGGAGGCATAGCCCAGAACTCAGTAACATGCGTGGAGTAAGTGTCTTTCCTGTCATTTTTTTTCCCATAATATTGCTCAAATTTTTGGTTTGTGTCGATTGTTTAGAGTTGTTTCAGATAGCTGTAGATCAACAAGTTATGTCAGAGAAATCCTAAACCCAATGTGCATCCATTCTAAAAATTACTATATTCAGAGAAGCAATCAAAACTTCTGACTTTATGAGTTTTCTATGCAATCTAACATTAAGTTTTTCAAAACTTAGCAATTGGTGTGAATGACATAAGTTTGATAGGCCATTCGCAGGGTTCAAGAGAAATTGTCAAATGAAGTCGAGTCAAGGTCAGCTGATGAAGTGCAATCTATAGCACCAGCAGCAGAAGCGCTTAAAAGCAAACGACTGACATTTGCTTGGCTTGACGGAGAATCCCAAAAGGTGAACCTTTGTGTGTTGTTTGCCTTTTAACTGTTATATCATTGAGTGTGGTCTTGAAACTTTTGTCTGACAAAAGATTTAATTTTTGTTCAGAAATATTGCCTCTTCTTCCTCCAATCTGAAAACAGCCATGAAACTTGTGGAGAAAGGACAGATATGACCGATGTTCCTCAGTTATTTATTGTACGCTATAAGAGGAATGTGACAGAAGAGAGTGAGAAGCCCGAGAAGAAGCCGAAAAGCATATGGGATGCAGTGCAAGACCAGGAATTAGATCCTGCATCACAGCTTGTGGCAAAGTACAATGGTTCAGATGATACTCAGGAGGTATCTAACTCGGTTTTGAGAATTTCTTGACTTTGCATCACAATACTTTAAGATACAATCAATGCCTCAGACGTCACAGAATACAAATTTTCTCTAAGTTGGTTGCTTCATTTTCACCTTTCTCATGCAGATTACTAAATGGATCTCGCAAATAATCAACGATGGCGACTCCAGAGATCTTCCTCATTATGTAAATAAACTTGGCCTTCTCATACAAGCATTTTCACGAACTACTTTTTTTTCAGGAGCTTTACTTTATGCTTTCGTTGCAGAGAACAAGAACTCCTCATTTGGTTCCTGAGGATTCAGAGCCAATATGGTCAGCCGGTGTCCAAAGAATTCCTTCAACAAACACGCTCATGCAGAGCATCCGTGGAATGCTACGTGGAGTCTATGATCGCGTTGGAGATCCAAGGCTTGGTCCAATGCTGCTTCTAGCTGCATTGATGTCTTTCGGTACCATCTGGCTTCGGAGGAGTCAAGCAACTCCAGTGTCTAGTCAACCAAATCAGCCAAATTCCAAGGTGAGCATTAAGAGCAAAAATATAACAGACCAACTTAGTACTTTAGTACACTTCACCCATGTTTTTGGTCTAGATCATTCCAATGACATGTTTAATCTCCGTCTTACAGGATGAAAGTAGACGAAGAAGGAGAGACCGGGCTAGAAACGTGCTTAATCAAGACCTACCCCCTTCCATCACCGATATGGAACCAAGAGACTCTTATGAAATGCCACTGTCAGGTTCCGACTCCGAGTAGCCGATGCTGCTAGCTTTTTGAAGGTTTGAAAGAAACCAAATCCCTGCTGATGTTGAAGGGTTCAGGTGCAAACATAATCGTTGAACCAAGCTGTCGCGAAATACATGGGAACCATGGCTTGTGATTCTCAATGCAGGCACGGAACCTCCCTTAAACAGAGCCTGCAAGTTATAAGGAAAAAACTCGTAGGTTGGCAAGTAAGCAAAAATAATATTTCCTCAATTCAATTTAGATCGTTTATTTTCTGTACTACTAGTTAGTACGGACTAGACTTTGAGAAGAGATATGATGTGACTGTGGGACGCAGTAGGTTAAAAGAAGATGAAGGCCTATAAACCACTTGCTTGTTTATTTTAACATTTTTATTCTCTCTTTTTTTGTTTATTTTAATTATTTTTTTGTTATTTTATTATGGAGGGAATGGTGGTTCAAACTTTAAACTTAGAGAAAGAGACACACTGCTCCTCACCGGATGGTGCAACCCACAACTGCAATATTAGATACTAAACTCGTTATCTATGAGAACCGAACGTGACCCCCTCTTAGCTTCAAGTGGATAATAGTGCTAGTGGCTCGATTACTTAGGCAATGTTTGATGCCAAGTTTTGAACTAATAGATCATGAAATGTTATGAAGAGAGGATTAGAAAAGCCTGCATGATCAAGGCATGTGAGGGAGATTTGTAGATAACACCCTCAAGTGGGGTATGAATTAGCAAATTCCTCTTATATGTATGCACATAATTATATTTGATGGAGGAAGTTGGCCAACAAATTTAATTTGAGTCTTTAATTTTCTAAATAAGAAGTTCAGAGGAAAAATCGGATAAATTTTGATAGTTTACTCTTCCACTAAACTCAAAAAATTTTAACACAAACTACAACCCTATAACTCGATGTAATTGAAATGGTCAAGTCCAAATTGACATGCGAAACAGTTATGAAACAACCTAAGAAATGAGTGGACTAATGTTAACAAACTAGGAATGAGATTCACTCTGGATCTTTGTGTCTGGAATTCTGGACCGAGAGATCCAAATCGTCGGTCATTCATTTTTTCAAAATGTGGGCTGGTGAGATGTGTTAATAGGAACAGTAAAATTGAAATTGAATGGTCTGAATCTTTCAGTTCACAAGCTCCAAACACAGAATTCCAAAGTACATCTCGCTCCAATAAACTAAGCCATAAATCCCCACGTAGGCAAAAAGGCCTCTACTTTACTTCAAGAGCCACTTTAACAAACGTTAACAAACTGCCTTTGCCCACTTGCAAGTTTACACAATCACACGCAAGCACAATAGAGCGCCAACCATTGCAGATAAGAAAATCCCCAACAAAAACCGCGAACTACACGTGTCGGCCACACGTTTTTATTTCCTAAATTTCTCCGAGATTTTTCAATCCTCTCTGCTGAAAGATCGGTGGGAAGGAAATTGAACACAGAAAAACAAAAGACCAAACCTTTCTCTCTCACTGCGCCACCAGCTTACCGTTGAAGCCAGAGAGACAGAGATTCGGAGAAGGGAAGGATGTCGGCTGCTTCACTTTGTTCGTCAACTCTCAAGTCCCAGCAGATCAGCGGACTCGGCGGAGGTCTTAAGCTTCAAAAACCATCTGTTTCTGAACCCACTTCTCTTACCTTCACAAGGTATTGTTTTTTTGATTTGGCTAACGTTGTTTCGTTTGAATTCCATTTGGGTTTGGTTTTGTTTATCGGGTTTTCAGTTCTAGGATAGAAAAAAATCGTGCTTTCGGATGAAACCCAGCTGAGGAAAGTAGTGCAACGTTAAGAAATTGTTGGAAATTTGAGATGGGAAATCGTGGGAGTGTATTCATTTGACTTTGTTTGTGAAAAGCAAAGTTCTTTGCTCGAATGGATGTTATGGTCATTGAATTCAGTGAATTGGTATTTGAAATTTGTGCCTGATGTGTTGCAATTAAGCTTGGCTGAACTTGAAGTGCAAATAATTATCCGGAAGAAGGAAAAGAATGATCATTTGCATTTCTGATGTTGCTTCTGTTATCGTTTCGGTTTTAGGAGGAGATGTAGGACTGTGGTGAAGGCTTCATCTCGGGTTGATAAATTCTCGAAAAGTGACATCATTGTTTCACCATCTATTCTTTCTGCTAACTTTGCCAAGTTGGGAGAGCAGGTTCTATTTTTTTCAATCTTTGTCAGCATATATTGCTTTTTCGGTTTCTGGATTATAGGTGAAAACATAGATTATGTAAACCTTGAAATGTTTGTATTATGTTTTACTGCAAAAACATCGTTTAAAAATTGTTGCATCAGATTTTCCATTGTTGAAATATAAGATTGAAACTCTTAGCATTAGAGTTTGACTCTCACTTTATCTAGGTAAAAGCTGTAGAGTTGGCAGGTTGTGACTGGATTCATGTCGATGTGATGGATGGCCGTTTTGTTCCAAATATTACCATTGGACCTCTTGTGGTTGATGCTTTGCGCCCTGTGACAGACCTTCCTTTGGACGTGCATCTGGTATTTTTCGTTCTCCTGTTTTGGTATCTATTAGATAGGCTTTGAATAAAGAGCAATGGCTAATGTGAAATTGAAGCGCTGCAGATGATCATGGAGCCTGACCAGCGAGTGCCAGATTTTATCAAAGCTGGAGCAGACATAGTCAGTGTTCATGCTGAACAATCTTCCACCATCCATTTACACCGTTCAGTTAATCAGGTAAGGTTTCCCTCATATCCTTGTGATGGCATACTTGTTAAACAACTGATGCAGCTGCGTTACCTGTTCTGAATTTGGTTTGTGTTATCTTGTCTCTACTACGAATTCATGGGATGTAATATTCCTGTGGTTGTGAGAAGTGAAGAAGCATGATATACATAGATGGTGAAGCAAAGCTAGGGCTACACGATCCAATTTAGTTGTTTTCCTTTTTCAAGAGAACGCATTTAAGCTTATCCTTGCAATCGTGAAAGTATTACCAGAAAATAATACGGTTTGTACCATGAGTTCATTTTAGTAATCCTATCCTTTTGTTGTAATTCAGATAAAGAGTCTGGGAGCTAAAGCTGGAGTTGTGCTCAACCCTGGCACCCCTCTAACGGCAATTGAGTATATTCTCGATGGTGAGTTTCTCTTTTGGATATTATATACGTTCTGATTCATTTGGGGAATATAATCATGGTAGTGCTTTATAAAATTGATTCTTAGTGATATTATATGGCCAAGGATCGTCCCCCTATGTGGTGTATTTTACTTGTATGGGATCACAAAGGCCAACTTATATTTGAAATTCTGCCAGAATACTCCTGTTCTCAATCAATTTTGCATTTTACATGATGAGTTAATGCATGGGAAGGGAGAGTACAAAAAGAAAAGACGATTGTTGCTTATTGTTAACTCATCTGATATATCATCTCGTGAAATGGGGTGATATTGACTTTCTTTTTCATGATTCAGTGGTCGATCTGGTCTTGATTATGTCGGTAAACCCTGGCTTTGGTGGGCAGAGCTTCATAGAAAGCCAAGTGAAGAAAATTGCGGACTTGAGAAGACTGTGTGTGGAGAAAGTATAATCCCAATTCACCTTGATTCAATCTCTCTCTCTCTCCCTCTCTCCCGCTGTGGGATTCTGTTCAGACACTTTATCTGAATGCAAGAGGTATTCACAGTTTTGCTTGTTATTACTGCAGGGAGTGAACCCATGGATTGAAGTGGATGGCGGAGTTGGTCCAGCAAATGCGTACAAGGTATGTGGACCAAGTTTCAATGTACCCGTTATAAAAAATTTGACACGTGTTGTGCTGAGAGCTTTCCTAGGATGTAACTATATCAACAAAAAGAACAAATTAGTCGTGTTGATTAATGGAACCCAAACACATTCGTTGAGTGTGAAAATAGTTGCACGATTTAGGATGTAAGAATCCGGTTTCAAACATTTTCTGTCATGGCAGGTTATTGAGGCCGGAGCTAATGCTCTTGTTGCTGGTTCTGCTGTCTTTGGAGCTAAAGATTACGCTGAAGGTACGGATCACACAGATTTCAGAACCTATATTATTAGTCCAGACGAGCTAATTAACTTGCATCTTAACATTGGCTTTTATTTTCAATATTGCAGCTATTAAAGGAATCAAGACCAGCAAAAGGCCTGTAGCAGTTGCAGTGTGAAATGACCTCCAAATGATCGTGTTGTTTCTTTTCATCATTGCCATGTAAGCCATCTTCTCGCTCATTCGAGTTTCTGATATACGAAAACCTACTAGCATTTTCTTTTGAGTCATTTCACTGACGAGCTGCATAAGTTGCCTTCTTGAAATTCATCTGGTTGATGGACTTGAATTTCTGCACATGATGAACGGCTATTTGAGGCACGAGTTTGGTTTTGTTCTGAAAATTTTTACGACTAACCCAACTAAGTTAATCTACATCTTTGCAGAAATTTACGTACGACCTAGGAAGCATACTCATCACATCTTCTCCTCGGATGTCCTTTCGGTTTGTGCAATATCTCTTGTATTAAAGAATGCAGAGAAACTGATAAGCAACAAGTCTGCGGTTCGCCTGGGACACATAGGTTCTGTACCATTTCCTTGGCTATGTATGTAACAGATCATTCCAATCTTAATGAAGCATTTTTCTTGTCTTCCTTCGCTGTTCTTGCTTTGGTCGTTTTCCTTATCCAGTCTAAAATCAAACAAACTGTTGTTTAAATATTTGGGCTCGTTTGGAAGTGCTTTTAAAATGACTGAAAGCGCTTTTGATGAAAATGTTTAAAAGCAGTTTCAATCATTATCTGCAAGAGTTTGTAGCTTAAGTAATTAAGAGGAGTATCCTTACCCCGAAGTCCAATGCTCGAGTCCTCCCTCCTTTAATATATATAAACCGTTCAGTAGGAGACGTTCTTTAGTCTGGATGTCCGTACCACGTGATTGTTCAATCACGACTCCTCACGCTGGATCAAGGAGTGGGTGGGACGGAGTGAGGTGGTATGGCCACCCGTACCTCAGAATTCTCCGTCCAACGGACGTACAATGGCCATGAGCCAATTGGACTTTGAGGGCCCAAAGGAGTCGAAAATGGAAAGGTAAACATCACTCGAATCCGGATGAATACTGGAGAAAATCTTTGAGAATCAGTTAGTGACTTCGTTAATTGCTATACACCTTACTAAGGGCCGAGAAGACTAACCAAAATATTTCAGCCTCTTTCTTATTATTATCGTGTACAATGCTTCCAACAAGATGAGTTGCTGAGGATATTTTGATGGTCCAATGCAAATGAATTCATGAAATGTTTTATGATAATTAAATCAACATATTGAGCAGATGAGACATCAATTACATGTTAGGGAATCTCAGATGGATGCAGCAACAAACAAGTTTATCATATGGTAGAGATAGAGAAGATACCCTGATCTAACAAAATCAAACACACGAACTCGAGAGAATCAAACACAGGACCTCGTTCTCGATTCAATTCAACGATTAGAAAAGGAATATTCATCACACATGCCAAAAGATTCAGTTTATTATATTTCTAAAATTTTCTTGTTCAATTTTCTTATATAAAATATTCTTGTTCGCTATCCGGTGCATCTCAGGGAGCAAATACACAAGAACATCTTCAAAACTCACCACAAAATATGACTAAGCTATTTACGGTTTACACAAATACAAAACCTGAATTTACATAAACAGTAAGGGGATAAAAACTTGAGAGTTTAACGAAACACTCCCGGTACTGTTCACTTTAACAAAAAATGATATTTTTACTCTAAAAAGTCACTCTTGGTACAATCACTTCCAACACTTTTTTGTCATTTTAATTAAAACTCAAAGTTTTCAAGCTCTTTTCATTATTATTATTATTATTTTTTTTTTTTAAATCAACCTGTGTTTCGTTCACAAATCTCGCCGGCATAAAGGGCACGAACCATGTCTGCTGAGCCACTTTTCCACGCACGCCAAGTGAAACGTATGCTGACACGGGCAGCGTCCTCGCAATTTCTCCTTATTCAACATCCTGCAGAAACCACATTATTGTTGTTATGATTTCAGATAGTGCCCTTTTGAGTTGAAAACAAGTGATTTTTTCGTTGACAAACGATAGTATTAGTGAGTTAAATTATTAGTTCTTAGGAGGCAGGGGGATTGAACCCACACCCCAATTCATAAACATGATTGCTTTCCGCCATCAGCGAAAACAATATTAAGATTCGAGTATTGATTAACCAGTTACCACAGATTAATCTTCCAAATATGTGAATGTATCCATCTATTTTATCACAAACATTTTAAAAGTAAAACGGACAAATAGTTCAAGTCCCCTTAGAAAGAGTTACGACCTGCAAACATGTCGTACAACAGCAACCCCGAGCTGCCTTGGTATCCTTCAAGATCACACGAGATGGTAGTTTCTTCAGAATATCCCTTGGCAGCCCTCTGGTTTCCGCTCCTCCATGGACATCACGACGAAGATTAGCAAGGGTAACCTGCTCATTCCAGCTTCATAAAACCAGATAAAAAGCAATTGCACAGAGGAATATCACATTTTTTATCACCAAACTTGTTTCATCATTAACTTACAAAACAATAAGATTGGTAAGATGCACTAGCAATACCTCTATCAGAAGCCTTCCCAGCTAAAGCAACAGCAATACCTCCTGGGAAAAATCCAGCCGCAAGAAAAAAAAAAAATGTAAACATGCATATCAAACTCCATTAATTTTTTTAAAAAAAAAAACATCAATTATTAGCAACGTTGAATTTATGGGAACAATAACATCAATTATCTAGATATTTAAAATTATCAATTTCCACATTGGGGCACTTATAATTCAACCAAAATAATTGATCACATAAAAAAATCAACAAAAAATTATTTCAATAAATTAGAACACCCTTCAAAAATAAACAAAGGGGGCTTTTTGCTGCTGCTGCTGCAGAGAACAAGTTGTACGGAAAGTACAGGAAACAGGGTGATTAAAAAAGATTAAATATTTGGGAAAATACCATTTCTGTAAATAATGGAATTGGAAACTTTAATTGCACGGATTTTTTTTAAAAATTAGGGAGAGAAAAGTTGGAGCTAAATGCGAAAGAGAGAGGGGCTGAGAGAGAGGAAACGCGAGAGCGGAAAGAGATTTTTATTTTTATTTTTAATTTTGAAAAGTTAAAATATGTGCTATGATGATGAGGGAAGAAATAATCAGTAAAATTCAGTTTGTGCAAAATTACATTACTATTTATGACTTTATTTTATCGTATTAATATGGAATTATATTTTCACTCTCTTTTGATAGACAAGAAGATTTTATTAATAAGTAGTTTAGATTTAAAAAAAAAAAATTAACTTGACTCCTCAACAGATGAGGAATTCATTTTCAATTCACCGTTTTACCAATTTACAGAACTTCATGCCGTATGAAAGTTTTTTGTGGGTGACTTGAGAATGAAGAGTGCAAAGGATGCTTTAAACCATATGGTATTATAGTACAAATGCTTTAAACCTTTGTTCTCTCCCTTCAACACTCGTTTAGGCTCGAAAGCTCCGGATAGTAGCCATAACCTGTTATACTTGCAATCAACTGCCGAAGAATCTGATAAATTTCAGTCCTTAAAGGGTGGTCGACATTGGCCGAAACGAATTCACTGATACTCCTTCCCACCTCAATCAAACTGCAACCCGGCGACCTTCATTGCTTCATTTGATCTCTAACAATCATCTTACTATCCCACATGCCTTTGGCAGCATAGATGTTGGACAAAGCAACATCATCGCCAACACAACTAGGCTCTAACTCAAGCAACTTTACCCTAACTTGTGAGCCAAGTTTAATGTCTCCGTGGAGGCTGCACGCACCAAACAATGTCCTCCACACCACTGCATTTGAAGGCCCTGCCATCTTCAGGGTAAAGTCATAAGCTTCTTGTAAGAGCCCAGCTCGGCAGAACAGATCCACCATGCACCCAAAATGAGCTTCGCGGGGTTTCAAACCGTATTCTTGGCTCATGCTTCTGAAATGCCGCTTCCCTTCCTCCATCATCCTTGTGTGGCTGCAAGCCATCAAAACTCCTATGAAAGTAACATCGTTAGGGACAACTAAAGCGCTTCCAAACTCACTATTCTTCTTGTTCTTCCTGGTGTTTTTACTTGCTTCTTTCATTCGTCCGAAAAGGGTAAGCGCTTCTTCTGCTTGTCCATGTAGTGCATGCCCCCACAATCATCTATGTCCATGTCATAACATCCTTCTCTCGTATGTTATCGAACAATCTCCTCGCGGTTCCAATGTCCCCACATTTCGCATACATGTTGACAAGCGCATTGTTCAAGCATAAATCTGTATCAAACCCATACTTATGACAGACATAAGCGTTAATCCACTCTCCCATTTCTAACACTCCAAGATCAGCGCACGCTGAGAGAGCGACCATCAATGTAACTTGATCAGGTTCCACGTTGTGCATCTGCATCTGCCTGAACAGCTGAAGATCTTCGTTAGGCCTCTGGTTGTCGACATAAGCAGAAACCAATGTGGTCCAGCAAACTACATTCTTGGAGGGTATTTCATCAAACACCAGGCGTGCATTCACAGCATCACCTGCAGCAGAATACATGTTCATAAGAGATGTTTGCAGGTAAAATATGGATTCAAATCCATATTTAAGCACAAGGGCATGCAGTTGCGTTCCCTCGAGACGGACTTTTGGTTGCAAGCTTTGATGACAAACAAGAGAGCGTAGCTATCCGTTGTGGACGGACTTTTACGCAGTATGTCTCGGAACAGCAAGAGTGCTTTGGTGGCGGAGTTGGATTAAGGTATCTCTTAAGGGTCTGGTTTGCTTTCGGCGGTTTGAGGTCTGTGTGGAGTTGGGTTTTCGGAAGATGAAACCACGGAGATGGATTCGCTACCCTTGTTTTGCCGCAGCAGAGTTGAAGAGCTCCAGTGCTCGGGTTGCAAATGGTGCTCCTGGAATCGGATGCCGGAGAAGACGAGGAAGAAGAAAATGGTCTTGATATGGTGGTAGTGGAAGTGGAAGTGGAGGAGGTGAAGACGAGTGTGTGTTTTGGACGGAAGAATTGCTTCATGAGAGTGTCGCTTCGTCCCTATAGTTTCAAGTGTTGAACAATATTCTTAAGACTCACGGGAGGAGGGAGATTTGAACTTAGGTGCAAGAGATCTTCGAGACATTGATATCGGTAACTGACTTATTCACGTATGCTTAGAGTTAAAGTTAAAGGTTTGCCAGTTATGAGTATTACATTTTAAATATCACGATTTACAATGAACTTGTAACTCAAGTGATTATGAATATTTATCCTGTATTGAGATTGAAGTGCTAATTTTGTGCCAATTACGTGCTAATTTTGTTAGATGTACTGATGTAATCAAATAAACTACAAAACTTGAATTGACACAGTTGAAACTACAATGACGAAAAAGGAGCTTCACATATATTACTCTTGTGCTAATTTTGTTGTGTGTATTGACGTAACTAGATAAATAACAATACAACATGGTCTAAATGACATAAAAGTTGATGATTAGATCATTACTTAAACGTTGATAAACGTGCTCATTTCTATTTGTGACACTCATTTAATTTGTAAATTTTATCTACAAATTTAGTCTACCTAATATTACCAGCAGGTTGTAACATGTTTTTGCATGCAGAACGGAAAAGTATTTTTGCAAAATGTTAATTACATGCCCTTGTTTTTGCTTTGCTTTCACAAAACAGAAGGGTTTCAAATGTTAGTTGAGGAACCCCTTCCCGCCAACCCCACAACCCTCAGAGCTCTGCAACAACGCCTCTTCTCTCTACTACAGAGCTGCAACTCGATCAAAAAACTTACCCAAATTCACACCCAAATAACAATTCACGGACTCACACAAAAAAGCTACATTCTTGTTCGGATTTTATCACTCTACGTTGCTTCTGGGTGTCTCGATCACGCCCACAAAGTTTTCAAAAATGTCGAAAACCCAAGTACTACTGTGTGGAACCAGATGATAAGAGGCCACGCTCGGAGCGAAACTCCGCGGAAATCTGTTGAATTGTATAAACGGCTGGTGGGTTCGGAGGCGGAGGCTGATGGGTTTACTTATTCGTATGTTCTTAGTGCTTGTGCGAGGTCGGGGTTGGTGAGAGAAGGGGAACAGGTGCACGGGAGGGTTTTGGGAAGTGGGTTTGTTTCCAATTTGTTTGTTCAGACGAGTTTGGTTAATTTGTATGCGACGGGTGGAGGGTCGGGGTGGTGGTGTCGAGTATGCACGCCGGGTGTTTGATGGTATGCGTGAGAGGAGTGTTGTGAGTTGGAATTCGCTGCTTGTGGGGTATATAAGGTGTCGGGATGTTGACGGGGCGCAGAGGATTTTTGACGAGATGCCGGAGAGGAATGTTGTTTCATGGACCACCATGATTGCGGGGTGTGCTCAGAGTGGGAGGTGTAAGCAAGCTTTGTCTTTGTTTGGTCAGATGAGGAGGGCCGGTGTGGAACTGGATCAGGTGGCGCTAGTGGCAGCATTATCAGCCTGTGCCGAAATAGGGGACTTGAAACTGGGAAGGTGGATTCACTGGTACATCGAAGAGCAATTGTGGATGAAGTCACAGCCGCGGTTGGTGACTCTGTACAATGCACTCATACACATGTATGCCAGCTGCGGTTTAATTGATGATGCCTATAAGTTATTCAAGCAGATGCCAAGAAGAAGCACTGTCTCATGGACCAGCATCATCGTTGGATTTGCAAAACAAGGTCGTGGGGAGGAAGCTCTTCGTATCTTTCAGTTGATGCTAAGTTCGGGAGTTGATTATGTAAGACCTGATGAAATCACTTTCATTGGTGTCCTGTGTGCTTGTAGCCATGCTGGATTAGTTGAGGAGGGCCGCCAGCTTTTCAAGTTCATGACCCAATCTTGTGGACTCACCCCGAGGATTGAGCACTATGGGTGCATGGTTGATCTCTTGAGCCGAGCAGGTTTTCTAGATGAAGCGCATACGCTTGTGGAGAGTATGCCTATGAATCCAAACGAAGCTGTTTGGGGTGCGCTCCTTGGCGGTTGTAGGCTTCACAAGCATGCTGAACTTGCATCAAAAGTGGCTCAAAAATTAACAGTTACACTTGACCCTGACCAGGCTGCAGGATATCTTGTGCTCTTGTCAAACGTGTATGCCTCCGCTAAAAGATGGCTAGATGTTGCTTCTGTGAGACAGAAAATGGTTAAGATGGGCGCGAAAAAGCCCCCGGGTCGAAGTTGGGTTCAAGTGAATGGAGCTGTTCATAGTTTTGTGGCAGGTGATAGGACCCATAAGGATGAATCTTTGATTTACGAGATGCTTGGTGAGATCACCAAACCAGACATATCAGATGTGCTTTTCCATATTGAAGAATAGGAAAAGAGAAAATCCTTAGCTTCCCTAAGACTGGAAGGGTAAATCCGACAGAAGCTCAAAGGGCTTGCATGAAACGGGAGCGCTGCATGGAAAACTTAAAATACATGACGATGCGTGATAGATTTGAGACATTGCCACCTCAATGTCCCGTTTCTCAGAACAGAAGCATGTCCTCAACTTTCTCTAGAGCATTTTTACCCTATAAAGTTAAAACTCTTTGTAAATTAAATAGATTTACCATTCTTTGTATTTGTAATTAGTGGGGTTGCAGTACAAAGAATGCAACTAGACGTGGGAGATGGGACAAGGCTACATGTGGCTTTGCAATT